AGTAAATATATATTCAATTTAGATTTTCAATGTTAGATTTTTTTTTTAAACAAACAAACATTTTTTAAGATTTTTTTATACTAACTGTTTAAAATTAAATTAACCAATTGCAGAATTTTTTTTCAATTTTATTTAATATAAGGCTGCTAGTATAATAGTATAGTATATATAATTAAATATGATATTCAACAATACAGTCAGAAATATTGATGTGAAATAAAAGTATGTACCTACTACTTCTGTTCAAGCCCTGTTACTAAATTGTTATACTTTGTATTAACAACTCATAGAATTGAATATTCCTATAAAGAAGAATGAGTTAAATTTAAGATAATGAGTTTGAAATGTTGAGTTAAAATTAATTAGAATTAGAAGTAAAAAATAGAATTAAAAAAAATAATGTCGAATAAATAAAGAAATGTTGTAAGTGGCTAAATGCTCCATGTAAGCGAGGCCAATAAAAATAAAAAAAAAATTCCTATAGTTCACCTTATATATTATTCGACAAAATATTATTTTTTCTAAACTAGCCTTCAAAATTTTATATTCTATTTAGAAATCCTGAACTGATTTTGATTTTATAGAATAAAGAACAATTTGAGCTATTGATTATATTTATAATTATTTTATAAAATCAAGAACTATTTTTATCCCATGTAGTTTTTATATTAAATTTATATATTTAAAAAAATATCTAATAGTAATAGCACATTTCATTATAAATATAATAATTATATTTATTATTTTTATTCATATTGGTTATATTATGTTATATGTTTTTCAATATAATAGTATCATATTATTGTTCAAATTTATAATGTGTTTTGCATAGAAAACTTTTTAACAAACGTTCTTCTAACTCGGTCATTTACGAAGTTCAATAGAAAAACATCATCTATTTATAAATTATATTTAAAATTTATTATGATTTTATAAAAAAAATAAAATTTTATAAAATTTGAATTACAACCTAGTTTTGCTAATTTAACTATTGGTTACTCGAAGTTAACTTTTTACTTGTCTATTATAATTTTGATAGATTTTTACTATACTTAATTAATATTTCTGATTTATTAATTTTTCACGTTTTTTTATTATTTTGTCACTAAAATAAACATATATTTTTTAAATGTTATTAACTATTAAATATTCTATAAATATTAGCACATATATTATGCATAGGCTTCAAGCGTTGTTCACAATTGTGTTGTATGTAATCGAGTATTTATTTTTGTAATAACAAAAATATTTACTAAATCCTGATTTCATTCTCATTTCTTTTTCTGTTAGATCAAGTGTAAGATTATTTGCAAATTCATGGAAAGAAAATCTACTTTCATTATTATGTTAAAAAGATCATTTTCTTACCTGAATCTTGAAGTGATATTCTACAAGATACGAAACCCACGCACACCTTTCTGGGAAGAACGCATAATTTTCCACATCTTGCCTAACAGAATAAGTATTTACATATTTAAACTCCGAGATAAAATTACTGAGAATGATAAGTTTTAAACAGTTTCAATTACGGAATGAGATAAGTGCTTAGCATTTCTAATGCCACTAATAAATAGCTACTTCGAGACTTTTTTATTCATATATTTCATTTATGATACTGGTACTTTTCTTATATACCGTATTCTATTTAGTGTTTTAAAAAACTTTTTTGTTAGAATAGAAAAACAAGTAAACTTAGTTAAAAAAAAGCAATTTCACGGGAGATAAATTAAAAAAGGAGATAAACAATTATTCCAAATCTGGTAATAAAAATTTCTGACAAAATACCAGATCAACGTTAAGTACAGTGTTATAGTTGTAGAAAATGTGCCCATGATTGCAAATTTATACTTTGTATTGGTTGAACAATGTGGCTATTATTTCGTGACATTCCTTAAAATTAAAAATAAGACTTCATATCTGGTGCTTTCTGGTAGTCCCATTTTTTGGGGTCAAAATGACCATAGTATAAATTTTTGAAGAACTGCATTTCTACAATGACGAATTATTTGGGAGTTTTACTAAACATAGTCAGATAGTTGTTTGTTTGATATGTGTTATTTGTTGTCATATAATTAGTTTCGTTTTAACAATTTAATTGTTTAAAGTCAAATTGGACTTTTGTGCCTCGGCCTATCCTATATCTGATCATTATTGCATATACACAGTTTGAAAAATGGATGCACACGAATTTTATTATAATTTCTTAAATTATATTTTTATTAGAACGATTAATTCCTGTGCTAATATAATTTATCAGATGTAAAAATTGTAAATAAAATTACATTTATAACTAGAACGTATTCTTACCTTTTGCACAAAATATTTTATTCATCATCCCCCATCATTTGATTATTTGGTATATATTATTTCTTGGCTTTTTGGTTAATCTAAAATTTACAAGAATGTATAATCAAGTTGAAATTACAATATTTTATTCATATTCATATTTGTCAATATTAATGGTCTATTTTCCTTTTCACTGTGATTTGCATACTTTTTGATGCCTTTTGATAACATGCAAATCTTTTAATTTGATTTCAAAACGTGAACCTTTGTTAACTGCGATTAATATCGTAAATGGACACTTCAATCTATGTCAAAACAAACGAATTTACATTTATTTAATATGAACGTTTATTCGAAACAGCTTGACTATCTGAAAAGAAAATGGATTTTAAATTAAAAAATGCTTTACGTTTTATAATTAACATTCTTATACAAAAACAATCAATTATATCTACATTCTAACAATTACGTATATTAATTTTTTTGAACTTTTTTGAATAACTCATCAGTTTTTAAAATCAAAATAGCTTAATAAACAATGAGATTAATTTTATGTATTCGGTGTTATTTTATTGCATAATTAAATATATGCATATATGGGGGAACTAATGTATTTACATAAATTTCATTTTATTTGATAATTTTATCTATTCTATTTGATTTTCCATATTATTTTATTGATTAAACATATTGTACTAATATCTAATATATTCATTGCAATTATTATGTTATTACGGATATTTGATATTGGCACCTCTTTCTACTACTATTCAATAATATATATATATATATATATATATATATATACATACATACATATACACACACACACACACACATATATATATATATATATATATATATATATATAAATCAAATTACACAGAAATAATATAATCCCTTTGAATCACACTGCTATTTATTAATCATTGCATAGATTAATTAAACAATTGATATTAATGGAAATATTTAATATTGGCTTTGCTTGTTACAATGAAGTAATAAAATGGTTGTATTTGATGAAGTAAAATGAAAATGTAGCAAATGAATATGAATTTGTACCTCCTAATGCGCACTTATTGCTATTTCTTACAACAAATATTATTTTTTAACTTATTCCACACAGTCTTTAATGTTTATAGTTTTTTTTTCTAATCAATAATTTTACGACCGGTACCTAATAAAATGGTTCTGTATTTCAAAATAACTAATTTTTTGCATCAAAAAGGGATGTTTATCAATCAGTTCTTTCGAGTGTTTACTAAATTATAATGTATAATCTTGTAAAAGATTATTATCAAATTTTTAATATCTTTCTAGCAAAATCTTCCACTAAATTCCTTCCTTCGCATATCTAAATCTTTCCCAAGGGCATGCCTGCATAAGCTCCTTGGGCTTATATGCATTGAAATATAAGCCTTAAGCAATATAAAGGCAATGAAGCTCATTTTATTCTTAGCCTTGGACTTTAACACAAAATCGATTCAATTTCCACTAAAACACACAGTAATATAAATAAGGAAATGCGAAAATTATTGCGCCTTGGCGTAGATGTAAGTTACGTAACATTCGGGCATTTTCATTATTGGGGAGTAAATATATGTATATATATATATATATATATATATGTATATATATAAAAATTTATCTTCAATTTATATTTTATAAGATTTTCTAATATAATTACCTATAACATTTCAATCATTTTTACTGAAATTTAAATGTCACATGGGTTCATACAATAAATAGTTTTTACAATTTTGAATCAGATAGATCCCCTGCAATTGCTCTTAAAATATATATAATATATAATTAATATTTAGATTAAGAATCAAATCACAGTTTGATATAGTTATTTAGTTTCTATCACAATTTTTATATATTTTTTTTTCAAATCATTTCAATTAAAGGTTATTCATTATTCTATGCAGCCACTGTTTAGTTTCATATACCGTTTTAGTTTTAAACAGTTTGTAAAATGTAATATTTGATTAAAATGAGCTTCAAAAATGAACATCTATTTTTTTGTTTTTTCAAAAATTAGCTATGACTTTTTTGTTTAATATGTTACATTAAACTATTGCGGTGTAGGTTTTATTTAAAGATTTAAACTTGTTTTTCATTAAATACGTTAAACATTAGATATTTATATTTTGACATTTTTGTGTCATTAAAATTCTCTATAACCCTGTTGGGTTATTTTTAGTGTCTAATTTTAGATAATTCGGTATTTTTCTTTTTTTTATCTTATTTGATATTGAAATGTAAAATAAGACACAGTTCAATTTTATTATACTCAACCATTATCAAACGTATTCTATGTTTTCATTTGTTGATTAACTTTATACATTTTAGTTTTGTTTGTAAATCGTGATTTTTAGCAATTTATCTTCAGACTTATCATAAATGACTAGATTATTTAGTTAACATGCTACTAAACACTAAGCCAGTTCAGGGTTACTAAGGGTTGTAGACTGGGTCATGTAATATACTTTTTGTCATTATATATGTATATATATATATGTGTGTGTGTATTTATGTATTTATGTATGTATGTACCGTTTCTGAGTTTCACAAGGGACAAAAATTCATTGAATTTTTTTTATGCCCAGACATCATCTATATATGTAATATTTGGAAATGTTCTCGTAAAACTTTAGTGAAACGTGTGCTTTGAATGGAATTTTATTCACGAATCGTTTTTCTTTTTTCAGAATGAATATTACTTCGCCAAAATCATCGTTTTGCAAACTCGGCCTCTATTCAAGGCAGAAGCCCTTAAAAGTAATGGTGCTCGGTCAGGGAGGCGTTGGAAAGTCTGGTGAGTCGCTTTTTCTAGGTTTTCTTTTATTGGATATCATATTATTTGATACGATTTTGTATTTGCAATATCTAATATTATACATGATATAATTATAAATATCTTTCGTGCTTTGTTCTATTTTTATAAAATGTTTTGTGATGTATTTCTATCTTCTACTATCTATACTATATATTGAATTTCTGTTCAGTGAGTGCTCTATATGATTTAACATAAATATAAATTATTAATCCCGATGACATTTTAGTTTTGTGTTTGTTTTCACACAGTTCCCTCTCTATCTGGGTTTAAGTAAGTTTGTATTTGGATTTATAAACATCTCCTTTTATACAATATAATGGCCTTTGAACTTTCTTGCTATATGTTTCTAAACCTAAACTAATAACGCAATGTATTTACTACTTCAATAACTTCACTTTGGCAACGGAGATAGGAAAATACAAGCATTTCCTTTTATCAGAAAATAGGAAAATATTTCTTGTTCCACATTGAAACTGCTGTAGTAGCAAATTAAAGTGAAAATACTCGATATCGGTTTGCAGTGAAAAAAAATTTAAGTTTATTGTATTAAATTTATAGTAAGTATAGCAATTATGTGACAAACTATATTTATTGTGATCTTACACTGATCGGACGTCTTTTCGTTTTATTATATTGGCCATGAGGGTGACAAACTTCAGGGCATTAAGCTTTACACGGAATGGTTGCTACCCCTGGTAGAAGGGGTAGCAAAGTGTTTTAATTAAAATAGTTGTTCACTTTAAAAAGTAAAGTCCGCTTAACAATATGTAAATAACCAATAAAAATAAATATATCTTCTTTCATTATAACTTAGTAACAAATCAGTGTTTAATACAGTCCACAGCTACAAGGGTTAAATTATAACCCAACAACCTGAATTATCGAAGAAGAGTTTTAATAAATTCTATAACTACGTAACATAAAGTACATACACTTTAAGGGCTTAGTAGTTTCAATGCTCTAGCTACCAATTATTTACATATATTTGCCAACAATACTTATAAGAGCTTGTATATAGACATTAGTTGTTTTATATCTAATTTATACATTTCATAATTTCTTAACTTTAATTAAGTTAATTTTATAGTTAACAAAACATTCTACTGAGTTGCTCTAATTAGTTTTGCATAAAAATTACATTCCCTAAAGTTAGTATTATCAGCAATCAATAAGAGTATTCTAATGATACTAATTAATTTTTATCATCACATAAGCATAGAAGTTTTAGAATGAAGTAAGGCCTAAAATGAGGATACTATTTTGGGTACAACTCCACACTCTATTTTTTTAAAGAATTGCCTTACAATGGATTGGTTCTGATACCATGAGATTGACTACGAGGAAATCGAACACCTGGTTCAATCATTTTCCCAATCTTCTGCCAATATTTATCATCTTATAGTCTCGAATCATTTGTTTCTTTAATGGCTTCAATATTTCAATACAAAATAGTTACTTTTACACGTAATTTTTATTGGTATTTAGATTTTACAAAAAATTGTGAAAAATTATTTTGAGGTACAAAATGAAGGGACAAATAATGAGGTACTAGTTAAGAACTCAGAAGCATCTCTTTCAAAACTCATTTACTCCCAGAGACACAAAATTCATCCATCATCTTCAGTTCGATAGACTGTTAAATATATATCAGAACTTTTTAATCTTATAATGATTTTCAGAAGACGAGCAAACGCGAATAATGAGAATAAATCCCATGTTTCCCCATTGTGAAGTACCATAACGTTTATACTTAAAACTTTTTGACATTCAATTTATTAACAAATGTGCCTAAAAATATTCAAAAAATGTAAATCGGACTTACACTTCAGAAGTTAAGTAATATGAATGCAGAAAGATTAAGGGAAAGTACTTACCTGTTATTCTTATTTATGTTGTAAGACAACTTTTTTTCTTTAAGAAAAGTTGCATTTTGTGATAATAAGACTTATATAAACAGAATATTGCTATGGGCACATTATGGAGAACTGGTCTCAATTATTAAGATAAAACAAAATTGGAATTATTTAGAATGTATTGTGCAATATATTAATGTCAGTGACATGCAACAAAATCCTGATCTGGATATTTCATGGTATCAAAAAATAGTTTACAAAATAAATTAATATTAAATTCGAGGAGAAAGCAATCTAATTTCAAAGCAAATGTATCATTCGTTGTCAACTATTCGAAATGGTATTTGCATATTCAAATGAATTGCATTGCAGTTTATTGTATACGAATAATACCACTTTATGTCGTTATATTGTTTTGTATGATTTATGAATTTAATGTGGCTTTACATTTTCTGGGAAAATGAAGATTTATCTACAAAATAATTGCGTTTTCATAGAGCATTAATATTTCAACATTTCATTTTTTCGGATATAAATAGATTACCGTATCATCAATTTGAAATCTTTTTAATAGTCAATGAAAATAAAAAAAATATATGTGAATTCCATTCTGCTACGTTTTCGGTAAAACCGTGACACCGATTTAGATGATTTAAAAGAAGTTTTATTCGTGATTCAATACACTACCTATTCAAGTGAAACTTTCCAATTTTGTTGAGCAAATTCAAAAGATTGTACTGGATTGTATTCCTGAATGACGGAATATTGAAAAAGTCGATCAAATCTTAAAAATTGACGCTTCGCTAAAAATAGTCTTTAGAAATACTAATTGAACTGGTCAACGAACAGTTAGTGTGGTTGGTAGTGTAAATTTAGAATAGATTTTTTGGTCTTCAATTAAGAAAATTGTTGATAGTAATTATTGATAATAAAAATATATAATACCTGCATTGTACACATAATTATAAATTTCAAAACATATTTAAGCAATTGAAAATAAAATGTCTCTTCTAAAATATTGGTGGAAGTCTACAAAAATCTTGAAACAATTTTTAGACTGATATTAATTCAAAATATAGGTATGAAATCTGTGGTTTAACAGTAAAATGTTGATTTATATTTTCTTATAATAAGTAACATGTTGATGAGTTATTATTATTACAATAATTCAAAATTATTAATTTTATCTTATTATTAGTAAAGTATTCAGGAAATAATTCAGTTTGATGCAATCAGTGAGCAAAAATCAATGTATACTCATTAGAGCACATTAGAGCACATCTTTCTATAAATCTAATATAGTTTTTGCGTGTTGGGTCAAATATTAATAATTAACATAGCTGAATTTTATGTAATAAAATAGTTTTATTTAAATAATATTTTTGAAGTAAAACTTCTTTAGGCGCGACTAGGGTGTAAATCCGTACAAATGCAACGGAAGTGCGTTACGGCAGATATAATAAGAGTCAAGTGCCAAAGATTTGTCATTTGCTCTCGATGATATCATTTCTATACGGGTCGATTGTGATTAGTCGTCGCGTATGTGAATAGAGATCTGTCGTTGTATACGTACCGGCGTCAAAGTTGTATGCGTACCGATATCGACAAGAAAATCAGCATAGATAAATAAACATTTTAAAGTTGCATCGTTGTACAAATGTTGATTTAATGAGATATGCCTGAATCAGAAGAATATTTTACTATGTTCCTTAATATTTTACCCTGTTCCTTAGAAATTATTTCTATATTATTCGTAGTTTCTATAAATCTTTGAAGTTATTATAATGCAAAATATTTTTTAGGCAAGACAGATATTACAGCTGTTCAAAGAACGAGATTATATCGCCAAAAAGTAAAAAAAATACAAGCAGTCAATGAATGTATGTTAATTTCAATTACGTGAAGTTCTTCAAACACAATTACATGATGAGTGATGTTGCAAAAACAATATTTGTTTAAGCTTTTTTTAACATAATCCACTATGTGAACGAATATTATAGAAATTATTAATCAGCAATTACTTCATTACTCTAATGAAGGTTCATTTCAAAATGCTAATCACAATGACAAACCGATCATGTCATATTTTAAGTATGACTTAAATTGCATTATTGTTTCTAAATATATATACAGGGCCGGTCCTGCCTTGCATGCGATGCATGCAAAAAATGCGGGCGCACGCCTTAGGGGGCGCCAAAACGTGTTTCGGAAATTAAATTTATAATATATTATTTATATAAAATTTAGAATACTTAATAAATTATAATAAACAATCCAACTTAACTAGGGATACGAAGACACAAAAATCATATTTATTTTGCAATATGATATCAGTAGAAACAATTAATCGATTAATAACTCTGCAAATTAGTAAATAACAGCTCTGTTTATTGATAAATATACTTATTCAATTTCTTCTTTGTTTTAAGTTACCGTGGAATCGAAAAAGAAATTATCTAGTGTTCGATCCCATAAGCGCAAACCTGCGAAAGATTAAATTAATTGTTGAGCATTATTGACGAAAAATTGCGAGTTCATTTAGTTGAAACGGAACTTGTTGAAAAATATAAACAAATTATAATAGGAAAAATGAAAAATCGGGAGTCAGTGCTTAGAAAATGGCATATTTATTCCGAGAAATTGAATTGTAACTTTTGTTTTTGTTGCAAATGTTTCGCATCTGATGAACTAAATTGAATGTTGAAGACATGCGTGGTTAGGGTTATGGAAATGGAACAAATATGATAAATAGAAGCAAAATTTACTTTGGAACAAAAATCTTGAGGCTTTTTTTTATATTGAGTGGTGTTCATACTCCAAATTTAATAATTTAACTATGCAGAAATAATACATATCATTATAATTAGTTATTTTTACAATATAGTTCAAGAAATGTGAAATTTATTTGCATTTTTTACTGATTTTTGAACAATACTTTTAAAATATGTTAAAAATTTAACTTTAAACAACAGACTGATATTCTGAATATGACGGGAAAGGATGAATACAATTAGGCTCTTACGATATCAATAAGGAGAAGTTTGCGACGCAGTTTTGGATATTGTAAATAATGAAAAATTAAATTAAATTAAAATTTTAGAAATCCAACATAAAATACAAGTGTTATGAGTCGCAGTTTTTTTAGCTCTCTTAGCACGATTTGCTCAATAGAATAAATCGCATAATAAATAAGTAAAATGTTTTAAAACCCAAATATTAATATTGCACATACGTTAAAAATAATTGAAAATTTAAAAATATTTGATTATAATAAACCCGTGAATTGCCTCGATTTTCTAAATAAATTTATTATCAATTTTATACGCTTTTAGATTATACCTAATTTTTTGCGTACTAAATCCAGAATAATTAAAAATTAATTTTTGAAAAATTATGTAAATATTTATATAATTTAAATGATAAATTGTTAAAACAGGTAAAATTAATGGGGGGGGGGCGCTAGAAAAAAAGTTGCATGCGGGCGCTAAGGACCCCAGGACCGGGCCTGTATATATATATATATATATATATATATATATATTTTAATGCTATTATAAAATATATAACTATATAATTTATTTTTATATAAATGTGCACAATGGTTGACACATAATAAAAATGTGCATCATGAGTGTTACCATATTACTAATAAACATAATTCAAAATTGTTATATATATTTTTTTTCATTAACTCTTTTATTTACAACTGTCCAGTATAGGACATTCAGTAAATTTAATGGATTTACAATAGTCCGCCGTAAAGGTACATTGTATACTACTTTGACTTGTTGGAAAAAACAACTCAGTAGTTATATGATGTATTTATTTTTACTTAAATGCCATCTTGTACAGTAGCAAATAAGTTTTACTTCAATCGCGTGTGAACCTTACGCGCACTCTATTTTTTGTAAAGATTTTTGTTTTTTCCATTATGATACTGAATGAAAATATTGAGAAAGGTATACTAAAATATATTTCGAAAGTACGATAAAATTATATTATAATTTATTGTCTCTATTCCAGCTATGGTCGTAAGGTTCATAACGAGGAGGTATATCGGAGAGTACGATCCCAGCCTTGAGAAAGTGTACGCTTTCCATACGGTCATGGATAACGAAATGGTGTATTTTGATATTCTGGACACAGCTGGCCAACCTCATGTAAGTGAATAATAATATGTAATAGTCCAGAACATTTTGCTTGGAGAGAAAATTACAAGAATTTTTCGTTTTGTAAGCAAATTTTTGAGGTCAACATTTTTTTTAAACGCTTGAGGGTATATTACGAATGACACTCTAGACTCAACCGTCTACATAAAGACTTAAATATAAGAACTATTAATGAAGTAATATAAGAAAGAAGTAAAAAATACCACAAAAAATTACCAAACAAATATTTAAAAAAAAATGAGTGAGGAATCTCTTACCTGAAGATTTAAAAAATGGCCATACGACACAAAATAAATAAGGAGATATCTCATTGGAGATAAACACTTTAAATGCATAAAAACTAGCATATTCTTAAGAAATAATATTAATTTGATCGGCAATAAACACATGCCAAAAAAACATTTTTTCTCTAAATTTTGACCTTACAACCTCATGTTTACTCTTCTGAGATTTTGATGAAACTCTGCATGGTGATAGAATTGATAGTCAAACCGAACAATTTAAAAATTATAGACTTATGAAAAATGATTTAATTATAAAAATTAATTGAAATTTTGAAAATTATACCGCGAAAATAGAAAAATTAATTTTCTTTTAGTTTTATAAATTCTTATAGTCTCAATAAACATAGTAGTTCATCTAGCAATGAAAATTTAGATTTTATTTTGCAATTTTATTGAGTCAAATATTGAGAATAAATAATTAAAAATAATGAGGATGGTTATAAATTAATACTTTTTGACCAAAATATGAGAGCAGTGATTTTTTCCTCATTCGATCCCATATTTTGATTTTACTTCTTAAATTTATGTTTCCGTTTATTGCTAGCATTTTCATTCATTAATCGGCTGTTTTTCTCCATATGGAAACTTGTCACTAGAAAGCTTTCATCTACATCGCAGCATTTTTTGCTATTTTTTGTCATTTTATTATTTTATACTTTGTGTCGTACAGACATTTTTTACAATATATCTTCATTATAATTTTATTGCAGTATACAATCCGTAGAGCGTTTTTTCTTTTTTTTTATAGTTATGTTACTTTGTCAAACAATTTTATATTTCTTATTATTCAATACTAAATGTAGAAACTCACGTACGTAGTTTGTTTGAGCTCACGTCTTCACCTACTTATAAGGAAATAATTTAAAATTAATATTGTCTAATATTCTACTGTTTTTTTCTAAAAGTGACAAAAGTGGTTTTGTACAAATAAATAAAAAATAAATGTGGCAAAGTTCAAACTTAGCTTATTGTGTCAATTTCCACATTATAAAATTATGTTGCCTGATATTTTAATCATTTTAAAAGAGTAGTGCTTGATCTAAATATTGTATGAAAACTAAAATAACTAACTAAATTCTGTGTACCAATTAAAATCCGGTTGTTTGTCCGGTAGTTTCTAGTGCTACAGCATTTCCATCAATAGAAACTACTATAGTTAGATTGTTTTAGTTAGTATTATTCATATAATTTTGTATTATTCATCGCAAGCGAATGTACAAAATTGAACATTTGTTGAAATGTTTGGAAATTAGATTATCTCTGTTTTTGAAGTTTTAATTAGTGAATATGGTAGTAGAATGTATGACAAAATTATTAACAATATTTGTTAAATATGGCTCGACTGATTATCAGATAAAACTAATAAACACGTGTCACCATAGACTTTTATAAAATATTGAATTGGGCAAAGGAGTATTTTTGACAAAATTGTACGTACTTTTATCACCATGAAATAATTTAGAATGACTCGAAAGTTGGATTGTAAGGAAAATGACTATATCGTATTATTATTGTACATTAGTATTTATTTCAAAATTTTAGAGCATTTGAGTTTTAGAGTTTTGAGTTTTAAGTATATTTTGATGACAACCCACCGGTTAGTCTATTTATAATTGATATTGATATTTTTTTATTATTACTTTGAAAGGTTATGCTCACTTGAGAACATATTTTGGTTCTATATGTCAACCTCATATGAAATCGATCTTAAGTTTTTGACGTATGAATATTCATAACCCTTATCAAACTCGAATTTCTAGTTAACTAATTAGGTCTACCGAATCCCACATTGCATTTTCCTATAACTTTTCAAAAGGCATCGTCTTCTCTCTGAATAAAACATCATTCATGAGACGTATTTGCGAAAGTTACGTACTTGTAACGATTCGAAACCCGATATGGAGGCGAAACCTGATACCACATAATATAAGGGTTTAAACGCATAATAGGGTGTTCCCTCACGGATGAATGGATGGACAACTTGGACAGTTAATGATAATTAGAAATGACCTAACCTTCCCTAATGTTTTTTAAATTGACCCATATCAATGACATACTTAGATGCCGATGATTAATTAGCTGATGTCAAGTGTCTACTAGTAGTGATCAAACTTCTATGAGTGGGCCCTGTAAAATTTCAGTTAAAATATATATTGAAAATTATTAATTATTTTAGTTTTGATTTTAATTTATTTGAAGTTTATGAAGATATGTTACTTAAATTTTTGGCCCCATTTGGCTCCGATTGCAAAAACTTAATGGGGTTGCCCTGTTGCTTTAAATGGCCAACCTTGTAGTTCATGATGATAATTTTATTTTTATTCAACATTCGATCATGTGCAAGTTTTATTTTTCATTAATTACTATGTTGTAAAAATTTAAAAAAATCAGAAAAAACTACATTAGTAAATTGGCTATATGACGTTTACTGTAAAGTTATAAATATTTAATTTTTATGGATAAAACTTTCAGTTTCGTCAACATTTCTTTTGCAGTTTTTTTATTATAGATAACCCATTCCTCTGATTTTTATTTAATAATTTCATTTATATAATATTTGTTGTTTTATATTAGGATTTTATTATTTTGTACGTTGTTGTTATCAATAAATACAATGAGTGGATGGAGACGCTAGTTTTAAGAAATTTCGATTTTGTATATATTAATTGGTATATAATATTAATCGTAACATTTTTTTTTCCATTGACAAAAACGATACTTTTAAATAAGTTTATAAAACTTATATTAAATAATTTTTGATAACCTTATGTTTTCCTTTCAAGTCATTCTAAATATTCTGACAATAAAATTGGAACAAAAATCAAAGTGTCGTCGCAAGTTGCTAAATCTCATTTCGTATTATGTGGATTATTTGCATATATAGGGAAGTTTTTGCACCTTGATTTAAGTGAACATGTCACTTACACCTATCATTTACATTTTTTTGTGCATCATGATCATTTTAGATACATAAAAAAATAACTGCTCAGATATGTAGTCATTTATAATTATTATTTGATTCAATTTTGCTTATGTTTTTGAGAACAAATCGATTCCTTTATTAATGGACCATTTTTTAGAAATTGCCCTTGAATAGTTTAAAAATAGTGGTTATAAAATAAGTATTTTACAAAGTTCTCTAAGAAATTGAAGTTCATTATATAGAAATATATACTATTATACTTCTGATTTGTTTTATTGTTTCAGTGGCTAAAATAAAAAATATCATTGTTTTTTATATTGTTGCAATAATATTGGAAATATATAATTATGAATTTACAATTATGCATTCGTGAATTTTAATATATTTTTTATCTATTTGCAAACAAAAAGTAATTAGGCATTTATTTATTCACATATGCTATAATCCATCCACATTAACAAGATTTAATACGAAGGATTTATATATTTTTTGCGTTTCGCATTATAACGATATATAATATTTACATAATATGAGAACAGCCAAATCGGCCAAGTAATGAAAAAATGTCAAATGGAAAACTCTTTTTATTCCTCAAAAAAATATACATTTATTTTATTCTACAATTCGTGAAATGTGTTCTATATCAAAATGTATGCGATCAATTTTTTTTCTGAATTAGGCATTCATTAAAACTCAAACTAGTGGGGTATATGGCATCGTGCTTTAAGGCAAATTGCTGGAACTTCCCGTACCGTAACGAAATGTTCGAGGAATATTGAATGTTTTCAAATAGCTTATTATAAATATTATAACATTGTCTAATATTCATAAGAGTTATATAAACTGAACTGCAAAGTTGAAATTATTTGTATATTAGAACTTTAGCCAGAATTAAAAATAAAATCTTAATTATTTTCCACAAAAATTTTTTTTTGTGAAAAAAAAGCTTAGTTCTCTCAAAAACTGCTATTTTTGCACATTTAGCCCTGTATCTGCGAAATGGCTGGGCCTGCCTTCGCCAAAAACTAATAACCACTTCTCCCAATCATTACTAATTGAATGTTTTTTAGATCATTCAAATCGGATGCATCGTTCTCTCAAAAACTCGATTTCTATTTTCTGCACTCTTTGCCCTTTATCTCCGTAACTGCTGGACCTAGCTTTACCAAAAACTAATCAGCACATCTCCCTATCAATAAGAATCAAATGTTTTTTTGAACCATTGAAATCGGTTAATCCGTCCGCCCGGAAACGTGACCAAAAATTTTATCCATACATACAGACACACATCCATTTTTTCTGAGGTTAGCCAAAATGTTCAGAAACCTTCAAAACGTCGAGAATAGCAAAAATTTTCAATTTCGATTTTTGGACGATTACTATAAATTACCCTACGAGAAGTTAATAATAATACACTAAAAATTATATTTAAAAATGCATAGAGGTGTAGAAATTTATTTGTGTATGAAGACCAGAAATTTACACAATATATATATATACATATTTGGGTAAACAAGTTCAAAGAATTGTGGGGTAGGCTGGGTACGGTTGTGCAAAAGGTACGGTAGTGATATTCCTTATAACAGCTAACTTTACTGATTTAGATATGAAATTCTAAAGAAGAAAGATGAAGTATGTTTGTTGGAACAAGTTTACATTGACATAGGTAGCCTCACAGTTTTTACATGCAATTTTATAAACAATGTTAGATGTACAATCTACACTTGTCGGTGATTTTAGTTTCGAAAATAAAATGTTGAGTCCGATCAATATTACAGAATCTC